AAGGGAATCTCTGGCAAGAGCGTTGGGTGATCAATCTACATCTCAGTTCTTCTTAGCCAGCCTGCTCAGACGGACCTGGGTTATAATGTAACCCAGGACCATTGTTCCATATTTACCTTGAGGCACTATGCCATTCCCAGAGTTAATCACAGATTCAGTTACATACAAATCTTTGCATACAGGGGAATCACGAGGGAATTAAGACTTTTTCCAGTCTCGCAGCTATGTGAAGGCTACTGATGGGGAGAAGAGGAGAAGAAAGGCCTCCACAGCGCCAGCGTCTAAAAGCACGGCTACAGCCTCATCTCCCACAACACCCCAACACTGGGAACCTACTCATTCCTCTACAAGCTTGTCCGTGCTGTTCCCTCTGCCTTGAATAGCCTTCACTGTTTTTTTCCATCTTGAAGGTGAACTCATGCCTCAAGACTTACCTCAACTGTTATTCACTCTACCAAGCCTTTTTCAACATCTCCAAACTCTATGAAAGGCTGGAACAAAAAATGAGTGTGAGCAAAAAGTGCCTCCAAATTATCAAGAAACAACATTAATACAATTATAGGATGGCATTTTTTATATACAGGGTCTTTGTTCTCTGCTTTTTCGTAGTGGCTATGTATTTTTTTTCCCCGAACACGTGATATTAGCTATACTGCAGTGATTCCCAAACAGCAGACACTCAATCATCAATCACACATTTTTTGTCATAACTGTCAGCCACTTGTAATACTATTTATTTACTTTAAAAATATTTTTTTCTTAAATTGATTTTTTAAGACTTAGATACATATATTTTAAAATATCCATTTCAAAAACAGCATCCCTTGCCCAAAATAGAAAGCATTCTTAGAAACAAATACCATGCAAACACAACAGTATTATTAAATTCTGGGTAAAACCGCTGCCAGCAAAGACTTTGGGCTTGAGGTCCAGTTTCTCTTTGCTGAAAGCGGAGATTAGCAAGTAGTAGAGAGGCGTTGAGGACAGAGTAGTCCCCAACTGAGGCTTTCCCCTCGGTAAATTCAGGATAGAAAGAGAATTGACAAGTGAACCATGTCCACGCTTACGTGATTTTTAAATGCCGTGTCTTTGACCATCAGTGTTATGGGCCACATTTTGAACAATGATGTGGTATAAAGAGTGCAGAACAGACAGGGAGAGTGGATTCGAGCTTCCTTTACCAGCACCTAAACTGGTTTCTTAAGTCACTTTTCTATCCACCTGCCCCCCTCATTTTTCTTATTTATAAAATGAGGAAGTTGGTCATTTCACTCTCAAAGTTTATTATCTTTTTTGTGTGAAACAGTTTACCTTGATCGTCATTTATTTTCCAGACTTTCATTCAATCAACAAAATGTTCTGAGCCCACACCAGGAGTTAAGCATGGGGAATACAGGCGTGAAGAAGACACCCGTGCCCTCATGAAGTTTATGAGCTTTCTTTCTCTTCTTAGCACTCTTCCCCTTTTTGAAACTACAGTGAATCAAATATATAGCTTATGTATTTTAAAGGGGTTCATAAAACCAAAGATAAGCGCAGCTTAAAGTATATTTGAATCCAGAGCTTTTCCAAAAGGTCCCACGCCTTCCAACTCCCCACACACGTCAACGATTGATTGCGGTGGCAGTTTCCCCGTAGGCCACTAGAGGGCGCGCACATTTTTCGATTCCAGAAGAAAGCGCGTCTGTGGGTACTACCCTTGAAGTTTGGAATTGGTGTCTCGTTTCCCCACTTTCTCTCCAAGTTGGGGCAATTGTGGTGAGCTTTCAGGTTCTGCCGCTCCACCAAGCCACCCTCGCCCCACGCAGTGACTCCTCATCTGCCATTACGATGAATCCTTTTGCTCCCAAAACCACAACAGTTTTGCTTCTGACTGTTCTCAGTATTTGCCCTTTTGACGTTTTAGAAGAAATAAGATCCAAGTTTGATGTTGAAAAGAAAGCACTGATTTGTTTAGTGAGAGGATTTCTTCTCCCTTTTACTGTTTTCCCTAGCTGTGGGGAAAATGCTCCTCTAAGGATTTGGAGCAACTCCTCTGAGCTCAAGAAGATCTTTCTGAGGAATAACAGATCTCCTTCTGAGCAGATCTTTTGGAGCTGACATTAGTCCTCTTGTTCAACAGCATGTTGTATTTTTGAGGTCTGGCCTTTTCCTCTGAGTTTTACATTTTGAATTGACAAGGTGTTGATCTCAAACATCAGAGAATACACTCCCAGACCAACCCTCCCCACACACCATCATCCAAGAGACATGTCCACTACTTTCCTCAAGTTCTTTGCCTGGTGGGTGGCCCTGGAACCTTAGACCTCACATTTTATTTGGTTCCAAAGTCCCCTTCCCTCCTAATATCCATTCTGAGCTTTTCTTGGGAGTCGGCAAAACATTAATAAAATAAATTGTAAATATGCCCTATTGCGCATGGATATTAAATGACCTTTTGGATGAGTTCCTCTGCAGTTGACATGGGGAAGACTGGGAACATGGATTGAGCAAAAGGAGTGGGGACTGGGCCTTGCCCACCCCTTCTGTGACTCTCAATCAGTCTGCTCTTGAAGGAGATGAACAACTTGTTTTTTGTAAAGAAAGGTGTCAGAAGTCTTCTGAAGCTGCAGCTTTATGCAAATATGCCACTCAAGAAGAAGGCTGTGGGGAGAGTTATTTATATCCCACAGGCATTACACATGCAAAAGGTGAAACTGTGAATCTCTGAATTGCCAGGAGTGGATGTTCTCATGATGAGCACATCCTTGCAGTTAGCTATTTTGGTGGCACACAATTCCCATATCTAACTATCAGTTTGTTCCAGGCAGGAGACAACATCATCATTCAGTAATTTTAGAATGACCCCGTATGTTTCTCTACAAAGGGACTTCATGACTTGGGGATTAGATTTACTACCCCCTTGAACTCTCTAGTAATAGGTGCATTCATTTCTTTTTCTCCTAAACAGGTACAGCACTCAGTCGTTAAAGGTAATCATGTGGCACATTTATTGCCCTTTGCTTTCAGATTGACTCCTGGAATTAGCAAAGAAAATGGCCATTTCTCTAGGAATTATTACCCTGCTCTGTTGATGGCTCACCCTACCCAGAAATATAGACCATTCTCCACGTTGAAATATACAATAATCACTTCAGGAAATTGCTTTCCCTATTGGAAACTGAGAGCTCACATCGGAATGTTTCCACAGCACAGCTGATGATAATTACGACTCACTGAAATTTCAGTTTTCTTTGATTGTGACATAAAAACTGGGACATAAATTAAAACCTAATTATCCTTTAAGGGTAATTGGGGTTATAAAACCAAGAGACTGTGAGTCAGTGTGTCGATATCGCAGGGACACAGTGTCTGATGGAAGGGTATGTGCTCTCTCTCCCACACCAGCCTTTCACATGAAATGGTTGAGGATAAGGTGATCTGTGCACAGTGGTGCCAAGAGAGGACGTCAGACTGGGTTACAGCCTTGGAGAAATGCAGGGAGCTTCTAGGACACCCTGGAATGATTAAAATATGCTGAAACTCCAGTGGGAAAGTCCTGGCTTTCACCTGCAAATGTTCCCAGTGGTGGAGCAAGGCACTTAGCATCAAGACTCTAGCCCGTAGCTGACTCTGTGCGCTTGGAAATTACAATTCTTTCTACCTGGGAGATATGTGTAGCTCTTTGGTTCAAGACAATCGACATTGTCAAAGTCCATGAGAGGAGGATGGACTTTGTTTTCCACAGGAGGCGTGATCCACAAAGCTGCAGAAAAACAAGATCTTTGGTAAACCAAGTCACAGGGGCAGGAAGGGGAGCTTGTTAAAGGAAGCCTTGGATTATTCCTTAAGTACAGGGATTGCTCCCACACCTGCAGGTGCCTACTGGGCCACTTCTTGAAGCATATTTGCATGGTCTTCAGGTCAAAACGTACCCTCTGGATCTCCCCAACCGTGTACCCCAAAGCCTCTCATGACGCATCCCTCCTCCTTCATTCTGGGTTTTCAAAAGGATTTCACTTCCCTGTCTTTCTGGAGAATTTGTCACTCCCGTCCAGTGTGCACTGGTCATATTTTTAAAAGAGCACATACTCCCCACATGACAGTGACATTTTCCCCTGTCTCTGCCACTCAGCTGAAGGCCCTTGTGGGGCCTTGACCATGATACCTGTAGTGGGGCACATAGTAGGCACTCACCAAATGGTGCTGAGTATGTGCACCATTGAAATGACATAACTCCAGATTGCTACCCTTTATTTCTGGAAGGTAAACATTGCCACAAGTTATTAACCACACAGAAGACTTGACCAAACCCAACCCCCTTTCAAAACCAACCAGGGTTTCCTTTGAGGACATTCACCTCTGCAAACAACTTTCTGGCCACATGACAACATAAAGATCTAGACGAGGGATTCCAGTGGACCTTTGCTTTTGGTTGATGTCAGTATCATCGAATCCCCTGAGAGTCCCAAGAGAGAAATAAATGTAAGGTCCAGGTAATTCCCACCATCCCCAGGAAACCATACCTGGATAGACATCTAGGGAATGTGGTATGTCTGATCTGGACTTTTGCAACCTTATTTCATAATCCACTTTCTTATCTACTACCTCTCAAAACCAAAGAGAAATTGGTACAAACTGTATCGACAAAAGATCAGAAGTTGATTCTCAATGGCAAAGGCAAGTATACATTATAAATAGCAAAACAGCTGGCTTGGACCATGTCGCTGGCCACTCATGAAGTTGAGGGATTTGAATGACATCATAACCCTTGAGAGGGTATTGCTAGCCAGCTGGTGTTGTTTAGAATACACAAAAATTAGAGAAAGAAAACACACTCACACACATACACACACACACACACACACACAGGTTCAAGTTATGCAGAGAAATATGAACAACAGGAAAATAATTTGCCCCTCAAGTGCCCTTCCCTTGGGGGGTGATAGGCAGCCTAGTAGAGGAAGGAAGAAAAAGATTTTATTTTATTTTTTTAGTTGGCTTTACAGCTCAGCAAAGTTTTTACCCTGTCTCGGGCAAAAAGCATGAGACAGTGTCCGAAAGGGGGCCAATTACAATGCTGCCTGCCCCTTTTCTAGATTCTAGGAAATGAGATCATTCCCCTCACTTGGCAAGTAGGACAAGGGGTCACCCCAGGGCTATCTTCCAATCTAGTTTACCCCAGTCATTTCAGGGTTAAAATTGTAGGGTTTGCTTGAAATGGCCTTTTTTCTTTTTTTTTAATTTTGTATATGCTCTAAAATATAAAATTCCTCGCCCATCCTCCACGTATATTCCTTTAGTACTGGTAAGGTGTATTAGCAGATGTGTGTGTCTTCGTGGCCAGTAGAAAGTTAATCAGAGAACGGATCCTTATTTTCTATGGCAGCATCCGTATTTTAATGTCTGCTAACCCTGTCACTAACACACATTCTTTTAAGGGAAAAAAATGCTTCTGTGCTCTAGTTTCAAAATGCAAAGGTATGATGTTATTTGTCACCATGCCCAAAAAAGTCCTTACTCGATAACTTTGCCAGAAGAGGGAGAGAGAGAGAAGGCAAATGTTCCCCCAGCTGTTTCCTGTCTACAGTGTCTGTGTTTTGTAGATAAATGTGAGGATTTTCTCTAAATCCCTCTTCTGTTTGCTAAATCTCACTGTCACTGCTAAATTCAGAGCAGATAGAGCCTGCGCAATGGAATAAAGTCCTCAAAATTGAAATGTGACATTGCTCTCAACATCTCCCATCTCTCTGGATTTCTTTTTGCCTCATTATTCCTGCTAACCAATTCATTTCCAGACTTTGCACTTCAGAAGCAATGGGAAAAATCAGCAGTCTTCCAACCCAATTATTTAAGTGCTGCTTTTGTGATTTCTTGAAGGTAAATATTTCTTACTCTTTGAAGTCATTGGGGAATTTTCTTTAAATTGTGTACTGTTTGCTTCTGCCTAGAAATGTGATTCACTTTAGAATTTTCATTGTTTCGGAGCTGGGAGTTATTTATAAATTGCTGAATATGCAATTCTGTGGGATCTGAAAAAATAGCTCCGGGAGATGGATGCCTTTGCACAGATATCTGTATGAGTAGAAACTATTGCAAAGGTACTTATGCTAAATCCTCCACTCCTGCAGGGCTTCAGTGGTCTCATTATAGAAGATTCCTTTAAATCCTCTCTAGTATATGGTTAAGGGCTATAGAGTATGCATATGAACTTTTGGATTTTTTTTTTTGCAGGTGCAGATTTTTTTTAAAGACCATGTTCATGTGTGTATGAGTGTGTGTGTATCTGTGTGTGTGTGTGTGTGTGTGTGTGTGTGTGTAACTTGTCAGGACTTTGTTACAAGGCATGCCACATATGAAGAGTTTCATTTTAGATGATATTAAAGCTTTTAAATGTGATCTTTGGTGCTAAGGTCCCGGAACTCTCTGCACTTATGCCCAGAGAGTCAAAGTTAGAGTGAAGTTTAATTTGTTCTTCTGAAAAAGAAGTCCTTGACAACTCTTGCTGACCTGGCATATTCATATAATTTAAACAAATGCATACTGGATATGGAAAGCGGAAACTTTCTAGCAACTGCTTGTCCAAGTTTTATCTTTTGAAGAGGGCTTTCATGGGCGAAGTTTGGACTTGGGGTTTTGTGTTGTAAAACTCTGATTTTGTACTCGGTGTTGTAAAGTCCCTTTAGGTAAATTTGGCTGCCGTTGTCAATGCACCGACTTCTCGTTTCCAATCACTGGCTCTAGTTCAAGTTTCCATTCTCAGCAAAATTATATCCTTCAAGACTTGTGTTTTTCCAATTTGCAAGCACTTTCAAGCCGCTGTCACTGGCTCCCCGTTGCAATTGCCCGAGGGCTCAATTCATTCGCTGCTTTCAGATACTCACCACCAGGACTTTTCTTAGTCTAGTAAGTGGCTTAGGAGTTAAGGATACATCCTTGTCAGGCACCTGATTCTGCTGCCCTTGAGATGCTAAGACGCATGCTAGCTACCTTGCTTTTGAAAGAAATGAAGTCAATATACATATGTCCTATGTGGTCTGACAGCCAGGGGTTTTGTCTCCCTACTTAGATGATCATAAAAGACTGCTGTGGAGTGTTATCTCTGCATTCGTTACAAGTTTGAAAAACTGTCTCCAAATGAACTTGTCATGCTGTGTGTGCTGAACTTTTCAGAAGTAGAACTAGCAATAAGTTACCTTTTCCTGGACTTGGAGCAGGAAGTGGTTTGAGGGAGCTGCTGGTCTTTCAGACGTAATTCAGTGAGTAAAGGTGTCCTGCCTGGAAGCAGAACTCACAAGCTGATTTGTACTCTGAGTCTCAAGATATTTCCAAGTGCTTGAGTCAGAGGGAAGAGGGTACGGGAGAGGGGCTGGAGCTTGGGTCACTGTTCGGGGCGGCCACAATAGGCACACAATGGAAATTGGTGGCTTGATTGGGGGGAAAAGATTGACTCAAATCCCAGCTGTGCAATTTGTTCATTGTTTGAATGGACAAAAGGCAGTTTATCCAGGCTCATAGTATACCTGCCTGGGTGTCCAAATGTAACTAGATGCTTTCACAAACCCCACCCACAAAGCAGCACATGTTTTTAAGTCCTCAGTTTTCAATTCACATCAGCCTCATAATACCCACCCTGACCTGCTGTAAAAGATCTGGAACAAACAAAAATGGTTACACCTACAGTGAGTATTTTCTTATGACTATTGCCCTCAAATTTTGCTGGGCATTTTCATTGTAGCCCAGACATCTGGAATCAATTGATATTCCATTTATTTAAGATAAAAAGAAAGGTCTTTTAAATTTTGAATTCGGGAATGATTTTTTGGAAAGAGCGCTCTACATTTTTTTTTTTTTCTTTTTTCTCTTCTTCTCTGGTTCTTTCCTTCCTTTCTCTCTAGCATATCTTTCCTCTCTCTCTCTTCGTTTCTTTTGTGTTTGGCAAAATAAAAGGCCAAGGAAATGATGAACATATGGGGCCACTTGTTTCAAACTTTTAACTCCTAAGCAAGTTCGTTATTGTTTTCTTTTTGGGAACATAATGTGATAAATTCTCTGGTTCTCTGTGGGTGTACTGGACTGTTCCCTGAACTAAAGGAAAATGCACTAGAGGTTCTATCTTGTCCTAGAACTATAAGTGCTGATATTTATCTGACAACATAACTCAGCAAAAAAAGAAAAAGAAAAATCTGTAAAAAATAAATCTTAAGTTCTGAAATGCTAGAGATTTATATGTATTGCTGGGCTTAAATGTGTTATACCAGAAATAACTATTAAAAATACAGGTTTCACATCTAATGAAGTTCTCAATTCACTAAGACTATAAGTTGAGTACATTTTCCCCTGGATTTCACAAGAACTGAAGAACTCTAAGGCATCTACCATTGCAGGTGCTTGACCTTCAATCTTACTATAAACTCAACAAGGAAGGGAGGGGTAGAGACATAAGCTGGGTAGAATAATGTACATTCTAGAACTGACCCATTGCCAGAGCGTGGGGTATGTTCTGTAAGATCAATTATGAGTTTGCCCTTTTCAGGCAATGAAATCCAGTTGGGTTATATTTGTTGAGGTTTCCACTGGAAATATTGAAGGGGAAAATCCCCACCAATTATTTTATAACTAAGAAAAATGAGGATTGGATGATAACTTGTTTCTGGCAGTCCCACTGGCTTTGGCTGTGGGGGGATGGCCATGGAAGGGAGTAGCCGTCTATGCAGAGGTCCTATTAAGAAAATGGAAGAAATGTTCTGTTGAGTTTTCACCTTTTCTTCTATTTTATGGCCATTGTTTATGATGATTTGCAAATAGAGGGCGCTTTTCATCTTCAACTGTTTTACAAGCATTAACTAAATTGGTACATTGTGTTAATGAGAGTCAGGGGTTTACTTTTTTTTCCCAATTGCTGAGCTGAAGGTCTGGCCACAAAAATGGAAATCTTAATTAAAATGATGGAGCAAACTTGGCCACTGATGTAGAGCCATTAAGTTGAGAGTTCATGGAGGGCAAAGAGGGTGGTCAGAAAATAAAGGATTGAGTCTTTCTCTCCAGAAGTGATGGGGTTGAATGGACCCACCACTACTGTGAGGTTCACAAAAGGCTCTTTTGATAATGATAGCTTCCAGCGTAACTCCATGAGCCTTTTGATAGGGTCCCTCAATTAACATCCTGTTGGTGACTCTTTCAGTGCCACTGAAAGTAAATGCACCTGAGAGAGTTGCAGCTACTCACCTTGGGAGGCTTCCTGGAAGAATCACATCTTTGTGCCACAAGTAGCAATATGGAAAAATTTAATGATCACCTTAGCGTTGTTTCTACTACGTAGAGTGAGGATGGGGACTTGAGCCACAGGAATCCTGTTTCTGGCAGGGCTGCCATTTGGCTGTCTACCATTGGCTAAGTCAAGCCAACCAGGGGTCCCTCAATATATTTTGCTATAAAATGGATACAGTGACACATAAGTCCCTCCAAGAGATGAAGTCAGAATTCCTATGACTAAAAAAGAAGACTTTTTCAGGTTTTGAGCCCAGTGCCCAGTTCATAGAAGGCACTCTCTACATATGGGTTGATTTGATATTGAGCTTGACACAAGGGACTTTAGAATGCAGAAGGAGTAGGGTTTACTTAGCATGAGCCAATTTCATTCTTAAACCTTCACGTTTTTCCTGTTTCTGTTTTTTTACTTCCACTTGTGGTTATATTAACTGCTGACATCCCCCAGGTAAGAAATCTCTCTCTTTGTCTCTCTGTCTTTCTCTGTCTCTCTTTTTCTCTCTATCTTGTTCTGTCCATCTCTGTTTCTCTGGCTCTCTGTCTCTCTCTTTAAGCGAAAAAAAAAAAAAACTATAACACTATATAGTATTTTCACAAGTCCATTTTTAGCCACAGTAAATTCTCTTTAATCAGTAGCTAGGGAATGATGTTCTGGTTAATTTAATATTCTGGTCAATAATGAATGCATATGCCATCTGTGGATGGACAATCTTGGGAGAATTTAAATTAATAAAACACATTTGACCCCAAATCTGGACCGAGCACAATTTAACCTTTGATCATTCAAAAGGTTTACCAGGATCTCTGAGGGGTGTGGAATCCCACTGCAATAATAGCATCTTTCATTTACATAGTAAATGTTTCTAGATATTTTGTCTCATTGAGTTGTAACAGGAACCCATAAAGAAGGGGTTCAGGGAGGACTTCCCCAAGGTTCCACAGTAGCAAGGACATTAAACACACGTTGTTTGATGCCAAGACAGGCTCAGTCCACGCCACCCTGCGGTCACTCATGCACGCTGTTGCACTTCTCTGCAGGGTAGTTTTGATTAATGACAGTAATGGAATGCTGGGGTAGGTGCACCCGGGCCTCACCCCTACTCCCCTTCAAGGACCAAGAAGGAAACATGACCTTCCTTCTGTTTCTTCGGCAGGTCAAGATGCACATCATGTCCTCCTCGCATCTCTTCTACCTAGCCCTGTGCTTGCTCACCTTCACCAGCTCTGCCTCAGCTGGACCGGAGACGCTCTGCGGGGCTGAGCTGGTGGACGCTCTTCAGTTCGTGTGTGGAGACAGGGGCTTTTATTTCAGTAAGTAGCCCTCCCTCTCACTGCTCTGTGGATTTACAACCGCAGGGAGTGTGTGAATAACTGAATAACTGCCCGTTGCTGGCAGTCATGCTCAGCCTCTGAGATTCCTCACCTTAAAGTAAGCCTAGTGTTTCAGCGGCGCTGTGGCAGGTTTTGCAGATTTAGGATGGAATTTTCCTCCTTAGCAGTTTGTCTTTTAATGACTTTCTGCTGAGCTGTCCTGCAACTACTACACTCTACCTTGACTATTCATTCCTTTCAGTGAAAGGATGGGACGAATGACCCTGGAGGACTGAGGTTTTTGTTTTCGAGATCTCGCTGTGCACATATAAACATATGGAAACGTGTGGGCCTGTTTTTAAGTGCTAGGTAATTTGGACTAAAATAGTAAGGTGGACTTGGAAAAAGAATGAAGGGGGCACATCCCAGGTGTCTCCATGGAATATGAAATCACCAGAAACAGACAGAAGGTGAACTTCGCTCAAAGGCACATTTTCAAATACACAGGCTCTCTCTAAATACAAAGTGAGATGCTGTATTAATTTGCCTTCTGTGCAAATTGACCTTGATTTTTTTTGTTATTGCCTTCCTTTGACGTGGCTCTTCTCTGGGGCTCTCTGGTGATATCTCCATCTGGAAAAGGGTTTCTGACAAGTGCAGGGTCACTTCTCCCAGAAGTAGGTCTCAGGTGATTAAGAAGTTGACAGTCAATAACAAGTAGACAGCCAAGTCAGTTCTTGCAAACAGTAAACCCAAACAAAAGTCAATGCTGCCTGAGGGAACTGATCACTTAAAGAGTCTACCTCAGAGGCACCAGTCTCATTGCATATTACGGGACAGTGAAAGATTTAAAGCCAGATGCTCATTCTATATAATTCTTTGGAATTTTAGAGAGTTCCAGGAAACTGACGGTCAGGTCCTCTGTGAGCATGAATCATTCTTAGAGGTTCATATCGCTCAAGTGGAGACAGCTTACCTCAGTTACCCACTAAGCTTTGAATAGCTCCTGTGATGATTCACACACTTCAGGTCTCTCTCTTCTTTTTCCCAGGAAAGGTGGTGTGTGTGTGTGTGTGTGTGCGTGTGTGTGTATGTGTGTGTGTCACTGTGGGGAGGAGTCGGTGTACGTCAGTCTGGGATGGGTAGAGGGAAAGGGAAGGAAGAGGCTTATAGGTGGACTGATGTTCTGGAATCATTGTAGATTTGGCAACAAATAGCCTTTAAACAACTAGTGAGAGAGAAGATGTGCTTTCTACTATTTGAATGGGCAAATTCTCGCTCTCTGTGATCAGCCAATGCCTTAATTGAGTGAATTCATTTATTTTTCTGGCAATAAAGCAAGTCTATCCAGTTCTCTGTTGCAGTGCAGATGAATGAGTTCATCGGGTGAGTGCTTTTCAAATAGCAGACTTGTTTTATCTTTAAAATATCTTGTGGAAGGCAATGTGTCACATCAACGTCACCCAACGATGGGTTGTCATTATTCTCTAGTCTGCTGTTCCTGATCCACATTTTAAAAACTGAATACGTGGTTCTCAGGAGGATTTTATTTTTTGCCTTGATAATCCATTCGTGCAATTTCCTTTGATCCACTTCCCTAGGTGATTGCCAAGCCCACAAGTGTCTTCTGTTATATGCCAGGTTGAATTGTGATGTTCAACATGACATGCTCCAGGATTTCCATGCACAGTGCGTGGAAACTGCATCCTTCTACGCCTGTGATGTTTGCATTAGATGACGAAAAATGAGAATGGAAAGAAATGATTTGGTTCCAAGTAACCATATGATACTTACACATGTTCACACAGATAGTTAAGAGTTTTGGACAACAATGATGGAAATCAATTTCAAAACACTGAAAAGCTTCTTTCATTCTATTACTCCAATGATCAAATTTTAGCAAAGATTTTTTTTATTCTATTTTAATAACTTGAGAGGGGAATGTTATATATGGCAACTCTCGATGTTTAAAGGACAACTTTGAATAGAAAATGGTTTTATAATTTGTGTGTTATTATTGTCAGTATTGTCATTGGGAGTCTATGTTCCATAAGTTCTGTCTCATAGAATTTCGTGACTCGTAAATTCTTTGTCTGATATAGATCCTAGTGCACAAAAGTATTCTCATTAACTTTCTAGTCAACTGGACAATCCTTTTTGTCCAAGAAAAGTTAGCCCCTTTAAAGTCTTTAATTCAAAGCATTGATGGAGCATTTGCTATGTGTAAGACACTGTACTAGGCATGAATGAGATGCCTAGAAATGAATGAGGGATTGACTTTGCCTTCAAGGAACTCACAGTCTAGTTGGGAGGTAAAAAAAAAAAAACATGCACATAAGTATTATCAAGTGCAGTAAGAGAAAAATAATCATGGGAGAATAGATTATAGTCCTTTATGCTTTTCCTGAATACTTTGTCCCACATTTAAAATAGCCTAACCAGGATCTACCCTCTCCATGGGCTCCTTGATGCCAAAGGCCATATTTATTTACCATTGAATCCCAGTATCTAGCTCAATGCCTGGCCGGTATAGGAAAGGCTCATATTTGATTGTTGAACTGACATGACTGAATTGAATTGAATCCAATTGAGTGGAATGGAATTACTCGTTTGGGATCTCAGTCTTTAGAACCATCAAGAATTAGGTTTGTCAGGTACTTTGGACAATTCTTCTTGCTGCATATTTATCCAGCTATTTGACAAAACTGTTTTTCCTTTTTCAGCTGAATACAATGTATACTAACAATGACTTAAAAGCTGCATTTTGGTCGTCCCTAAGCTACGTTGATGGTCTGTTTTGTGTCTGAGCCAATTATTCTTACAGGCATTAACTGTTGTCAACAAATTTTATTGAGTTTCCTTTTTGTCCCCTGAGATTTACTGTGTGTGGAGAAGTCAGCTTGAAGCATTTACAGTCTTTGAAATATTTTTTACAGGAAAGCAGTCATCCCCACTTGCATCCCTTGTCAGTTGACTCTTATTATTGTTTTTACCCTTATTTTCAAAGTTTTCTTGAGGCCGTGCCTTTTATTTCAGGCTGCTTCAAATCACGGATTTTTTTTAATAGTAAAAGGCAGTTTCTGATCTCAGTTTGAAATTCAAACATCTAAAAGCAAATTGCCTCCATATCTATCTTTTTCGTTGAGCCATAATGTTTAACAAGGAGAGGTTTTTTTAACCCTGTTAGAGACAAAAGGGTTCTGAATAAAATTTTTTTGCAATGCTTATTTTGGATAGATCGACTCAATGTTGTGGATGAGCTCATATTTCTCTACAAGCCTGAGTTCCACGAGAGCACAGTGGAAGCAACCTTCTAGATTATCTGTTTTGTGAACATCTTCCCAGCATAAGTGGAACAGTTCCTCTATAATTAATGCAGCTTCCCCAGACATTTTATGAAATGAAAGTTCCAATGAAGAGCTAATTACCGCTTCTTCCCTATGCATCATAGTGAGAGGGCATATCAACCAGTCTTGTGCGCTCATAGTCCTATGAGAAAAATTGTGGCATAATGGAGGGCGCATAATGGGAAAGAGCTAGCTATTATCTTAGCAGATTGATGGAGCCCTCATAGAGGGTGACTGGTGATAACCTTGTTTTGCATGAAACAGCAAGAGGAAAAGAACTTCAAGTGAAATAGGAGAAGTTAAGCTTGCCATAGATAAAATTTTTGACAGCCTTTGCGATTCACCATTTTAACACGCGCTTTAGGGGCTTGTGGAATTTCTCTCCTTGGAGATACTTAAAAAATTGACAGACAACCAACATCTTGGATGGTTTCAATTAAGAGCAACCAAAAGAAAACAAGTTTCTGGGGTCCTTTTTCGTTTTAAGAGTCTATAAACAGTCCCTTAAATAAACTGTATATGCTTTACCTCGGCAGTCTGGGAAAAAGGAGAAGTAAATCAATTAGAAATGAAAGTTGGATACCCTTTTGGCTATTTCAGATTTATAGCTTTTGTAAAATATACTTCCAATGCATAGTTATTAAGAACAGGTCTGAATAAATGAATGGCATTCTTCATGGGTTAAAACATACTGTTTTGTAGAGTTTAAGCGAAACTTTGCAATGAATTTCATTATTATTGATTGCAACAACCTTTCTAGATCTAGGTTATTATTATTAACTCAAGCTTCTTTCATCTGAAATATAGTGCTCAGAAAACTGCTCCCAGACCTGTCATTCATTAGCTATATGACTTTGGTAGGCATTTAAACATCCTGGGCCGAAATGTCCTTGTCTATAAAACAAGGAGATTTTGTTAAAGTAAATGACCTCTTCTAACTTTAACAGACTCTTAGTCTAGGCTGTAATTAACAAGGATTTGGTGCTATTCAAGAAAGGAGAACCTTGGATTTAAGTAGTGACCAAAGAACATTTAATCTTCTTTATCTTCTATACATAGTTTCTGTTCATCCCCAAAGATAGGAGATTACACCTACTTAAAGAAAGAGGAGCCAGCTTCTTTTTTGTTTTAAGCTGGATTTCAACCCCTCAGGGATGGAATAGCTCAAACAAGACCAAATACACTCAGGTCATCTGGCCAAACGAGCACATGCCTCATGAAAACAGATGGCCACTTTTCTTTGCTAGGAAAGACCAGCTAACAGTTCCCATGTTTGCATTTTCTCACTCTCTTGAACATGAGGACGAGTAGGTCAGTTTTGGGCTGTCCTTTACTAAATTAGAGGGGATAAATAAGAATCAATAAGCTTCTAAACTTGACCAAAAGCTTTTTCCCAGTCTATTGATACTGCCTTTCCAATTAAAGAAGAGAGTACACAATTTGGGGCACTCAAAGATACACTCACTCACCATTAGCATTGCTTTGAGTGGCACACCATTTGCATTCCTTGGCTTGGTACCTTGTAGACTGGCAGCCATGCGTTTCTATGATAGCTGGTCAAAGTTAGGGATATAGTCACTGGCTGTGGAAAAGCTTTTCTCTTTGAAACTAATTGGCATATGTGGGTTTGACCTTATGGCCCTGAGTTCATTA